AGGGATATAGGGGGTATGGGAGCCACAGCCCTGTCTCCACAGGCAGGTAGAGGCAAGGCACAGAACCCCACACAGAGAGCTGGGCATCTCCAAGGAGCTGTAAGGAAATGTAGGGGATATGTGCCAGGCATCCCAACACCTCCTGGTGGCACATGCATATATGATCATTACTAGCTGGGATATCTAAAATGGACTTCCAACATACCCACGGATGTAGCGAGACAATTTTCATGGGAAGGGGGGACAGAGAGAGAGAGAGAGAACTGTGGGGAGCAGGAAAGTTTGGGTCATTGGCCACTATAAAAAGACTTTCTATGGGGGAAAAACTGCTTTCATAGGTAAAATAACCCCAGTTTTAATTAGGATCTATGTTAAAGCTTACACAAAATGCTAGAAATCTGGAAGCTGAAGGAAAATTTCAGGGGGGAGAGAGAATTCGTATGGAGGAGGCCATATCCCTATTCCCTCCCCGACCCCCATCATTGCACTCCTGAGTGAATCTCTGAGGACTGGAGAAGAGCTTCCAAGTTCTCCTTCTGAGCTTCCCAGGAGCGGCTGCTTTGCTACTGTGGGGAAGGGAAGACTCTGCCCTGGAGGGAACTTTGGTCTCCTCTAGGAAGAGAGGATTCACAGCTTCAGCTGTACAGATTGTGTCTTTGGCCCACAGTTATGACATGTGCCTCTGCACCAAACAGTCAGCTGCCATTTTCCTTTGAACAGTCTAATGTCAAAATAAGCTGCTAGAATGTTATTGTTATCAGACCTTAAATGAATACAGCATATTCCCCATTTCATCAGTGAAAAGTGGTACATATGTGGCCAAGCAATACAGAATGAGGTCAAGATGGCAAATGTTGTTAATGTGGACAAACAAGCTAGGAGAGGCCACAACAGTTTCCTTTTTCTCCAAACCTAAAATGAACTCTTCTCGCTCTTCTCTTCTTCTGCCTATCTCTTCTCCCTCCACTGAGTCAATGGAGTGCAAACTTCTTTTGGACTTTGTACTCAGTTTGCAGTGATTCAAACAAGCTGAGGACAAAAGGGGAAAGTAGGAGCAGAGAGAAGCTGGGACATTTCAAATGCAGCTTAAAAAGTGGGACAACAGAGGATTAATTGGGACTGTCCCTGTCACATTGGGCAGTTGGGGAAATTTTGAGATAAAAAGTTTTGTGGGTATTGTTGGGTCTGTGTTTATGTATGTGGGGGAAAATATGAGAGCGAATGTGTTTGTATGTCTGAGGGAAAAAGGGATTAAAAGTTGTGTGTGTATATGTGTGTATGTGTTTGAGAAAGAGAGAGGGAAGGAAGGAAGGAAGGAAGGAAGGAAGGAAGGAAGGAAGGAAGGAAGGAAGGAAGGAAGGAAGGAAGGAAGGAAGGAAGGAAGGAAGGAAGGAAGGAAGGAAGGAAGGAAGGAAGGTGAGACTATAATTGCTTGTGTGTAAGAATGTATGTCCATCATCTATCTGTGTGGTTGACACAAACTGTGGATATGCAACAAAGTATGCACTTTCTAAAGCCACAGCCAAAAAGTGACTCACATTTAAGAATGTTTAAGAGAAGGGTTTCCTGTGAATTTCTACCTATTTTTCCTGGCAGGTATATTGTTTTGTGTGAATGGCTTGTAAGGGCTTGTTTTCAAGGTGGCTTCACTGCCTGACCCTTGGGCTTCTGTTTCACTACAGGATAGGTGGCTGAAAGCAGCTTTTGGTCTCCTGAAAGAGAAGTGGGAACGCTTGTGCCCTTTTCGGTGTGGCCACCATGGGAGAAATAGAGAGAGCATTGGGTTCTCCTCTAGGCCACAGAGATGAAGGAGCATTGGAGGTCCAGCTTGCCACTGAGAGTGTAGCACTCCCTGAATTCCCCAGTTCAGAAGCACAAACACAAGTGAGGCTGGATGTTGAACCCATGCCTGTCATTGGAGTTGCCAGTGCTGGATGTGTTGAAGAACCACCACCTTATTCTCCCCCGGACCTGAAGAGCATCCACCTGATCTACCCACCATTCCAGACCAACATTCCTGTCTTTTACCAGCCAGCACCTCTGCAACACGTCCTGAATCCACCGCCAAACACACTTCCGGGGGCCTCTCCTTTCATCATTGTACGTAACTTCATTTTTTAATGGCCTCCCACCCTAAATACCTTGATTCATTTCATCTTGTTGCCTTCTTGCTTGTGCGAAAGCCAAGGGTATAGCCAGAGACGCATGCTCTCTGTGGTGGAAATGGGGTGAGTACAATGGACTAGCTCCTTTGGAAAGTTAAGGCTGCTGTAAGGGAATAACCAAGCTGCAGTTCCGAAGCCTCCAGCCAGATGTAATTGGTAAACAGCTTGAATGGCAATGTTGGGAGATACTATATGGCATAGCTCTTCCTGGAGTGTATCACAATTTGGACAGGAATTATATTAGGGCTGCATCCAAGGCCCTGATTCAGTTCAGAGACTAATTTTTACAGGTGAAATCTTGCTTCATTTCAGACTAGCTAGAATCCAACCCAATTGCTTCTGATCCAGACCTGAAATAACCCATACCTCCCTCACTAACGTGCACTACAAAAACAAAAATTGCTATAACTTCAAAAAAAAATCCACATAGATTTGGAGATTTGGAGACATTAGGGAGTGGCTTCATTTATATCAATTTCAGGCAGGTAATGGCTTTTGTGCTAAGCACCTGGAAATATGTATTGTTCTGCAAAAAACAGTTCTAAAAAGTTGTTGAGTCCCCAGTTTTGGCAATGTCTTTCATGCTGCTTCCTGGCAGTCCCCACTACCACCATTAAAAGACTGAGTAATGTGGGTGAGGGGGAAGACCAAACCAGTGTGAACTAACATATATGATAATTATAATAATGACAGTGCTTACAGAGAATACTTTTTTTGCTTTAGCATATCATCAAACCAACTGGTGAGATTCAACAATGCAAAATAAGGAAGTAAGGCTGCTTTATTATTAGCAGCAGTCCAAGTGGTCAGATCTCCCTGGTGGTCCCCCTGCTTCCCCAAAACATTTGGCAATCTGAGATGGCGCAAGAAAATGTAGGGAGCTGAGTATCTTTAGCCCAGAGAAGAGAAGGTTAAGAGCCTTGTCTAAATATTTGAAGGCATGTTATTGTAACAAAAACAGTGATTGGATCGGGACATCCCTGAGATGGATGGATGGATGGATGGAGAAGTTTGGCTGCGGACACAACAGGGGGTGGACAGAAAGAGACTGGTTTGCTGCTTTGGGGGGAAAGAGATCCTTTGTGTCAAGTTTTAAGAGGAAATGCAGATTACTTGGGGGAAGGAAGGAGCACTTTAGATTTTATGATTTTGCTTACCTGGGTGTAGACATGCCTCAGGGGAAACAATCCTTTTCTCCTTGAGAGAGGAACAAAGGACATGGTTCTCTCTAAAACATGCTATCTCCAGCTATGAGATACACCTGTCCGTCGCTGTTCGTGGTCTTGCTGTTCGCATTCCTCACTACTTCATGGATGGCAAGCTGTGAGGGACAAAATGGTGCATGCACCCAAGGCACATGCACCATGCAATGCGCAGGAGCGCCCCCCATTGGAATCAATGGAGCTCCAATATTGGTGAGTTTTCCCAATTCACTGGAGGGTCCAGAATGGATCCCCCACAAATTGGGAGGGAGAACTGTATAAAAATATGAGGACCCCAAAATACATTATGGGGTATACAAAGCAGCTAGCAAAGCAGCTTCATTTATATACCGCTTCATACCGCGCTATGGGGTGTCTAAGTGGTTTACAACTGTAAGCTCTTTGCCCGCCAACAGTTGGGTATTCATTTTAGCGACCTCAGAAGGATGCAGGCCTGAGTCTAGCCTGAGCCCTGGCTAGTACTGAACTTGCAACCTTGTGGTCTTTGAGTGAGTGGCTGCAGTACAGGCATTTAACCACTGCCCCACCAGGGCTCCTTCAGGGGTGCTTAATGGAGGGTGGGGGATAGATTTTCTTAACAAAAGCAAGCAATGACTCATTAAACAGATAAACTGCCAAGGAAGAGAAATAGAAATGTTATATTCAAATATATTCAAGAAGAAAACCTCTGCAAGACCCATCCCTTACCACAGCTCTTTCACAAACTGGTATTAACACAGAATGAAGAAAAACCTGGAAAGAATAATATAACTTCAATTACTTCACATAATCATTCCTCACAAAGTCTATGATTTGAGAGAGCTGGTGAGATTCATACACCAGATTGAGCATCAGAGCTGCCAGTGAGCATAGCCAGCTAGACTCCCTCCTACTCTGCATCATACCACTCTAGCATCTTCCCTGTATTGCCAAGCTGGAGATTCTCTGTCTAGCTTTTTACTGTTTACATTTGACATCTGGATCTCTAGATCAATCCAAAGTGCTTTGGCTTATCCTGGTTTATTCTGGAACAGAGCTGGGCCAATCTAATATGCTCCTAAACTACTCAAAATCAGTCTGAATCAGCCTGATTTGTTTTGTCATTTAGCATTTGGCACTGGTGGTTCCAAGGCTTAAATTGTCTGTTTGACAGCAATCCCTTTTCAACAAAAATCCAAAGCCTAAAATGAGCCCCAGTATGCCAAAGCATTAGCTGGGCTAATTTTGTAGAAAGTGAATTATAAGTCAAGCTGCCTATGCAAAATTGTATACATTTGTTGTTATGTGCTTTGAAGACATTTCTGACTTATGGCAACCCTAAGGTAAACCTAGCATGGGGTTTTCTGAGGCTGAGACTGTGTGACTCACCCAAGGTCACCCAGTAGATTTCGATGGCCGAGCATGGATTCAAACCATGATCTCTAGAGTCCTAGTCCAATGTTCAAACCACTACACTGTGCTAGCTCTGTGTATATATTTCTGTTGTTATTGTTGTTGTTTGCCTTCAAGTCATTTTCACTTATGGTGACCCTACGGCAAACCTATCAAGGGGTTTTCTTAGCAAGTTTCTTCTGTTGCCATCCTCTGAGGCCGAGAGTGTTTGAGTTGCTCAAAGTTACCCAGTGGGTTTACATGGCTTAGCTGGGATTCAAACCCTGGTCTCCAGAGTCATAGTCCAATGCTCAAACCATTACACCACGCTGTCTCTATATACCTGCTACCTGCAACCTATTATAATTTATATACCTGTTGCCTATCATATATAGTTGCAACCTGCCACAATTTATTATATTTCTCCCAGTCTTTGTGGGGAATAATAATGAATTATGTGGAAACTGGACCAACTGTTCAGGTGTTGCCAAATTCCCCCCTCAATACAAATTTCTTCAGTAAAATTTACAAAAGACGTATATAACTCATCTCACATAACTACAACCCAATCACTTCCTGGATGGCAAACAAAATAAGTTCATAGCAGTCCTTGAAAATTTCTTTACTGGGATGTATTACCCTGTTTAAAGTGTTTCTGATTGCTCGCTTGTTTATCATATTTCACAATCCCTTTGGCTACATCCATAAACAAATTTAAAAAGTGGCAATTGATTAACTACTTTATTTTTAACAAGAGACTCAGGTTTACTAAATCAATTGGACACACACGTGTCAGATACAGTGGATTGGCAATTCCTGATATCATACTTTACTTTCAAGCTTTCTACTTAAATCAACTCATTAATCTCCAAAAAGACATGACACCAGATGGGTCAAATCAGAAATTAATGATATCTCCTCAGCAGAATTTACTTACCTATACTCAAGAACCACAAGATAGAAACTGGCAAATATCTAATCCCTTTCTATGTAACTCACTAGCTATTTGGAATAAATGGCTACATGTTCTTACACTAGATCCCTTCCTTCTACACCCCTGCTTTCAAGTGATGAACAAATATTTACAATTCAAATCATGGAAAACTTATGGGCTTTACTGCACTTTAGACCTATTTATTCAAGGGAACCCTAAACCTATAGACTCTATCAATATCCAATAGACTCTATCAATCTCCAATTGCAACTACTCAAGACAAACTAGTTTCAATTAAACCAAATTAGTTGGACTGGATGGCCCTTGAGGTCTTTTCCAACTCTATGATTCTATGAAATTGTTTATTTCATGTAATCCCTAAACTTGTTGGGAGAGGCTCCCAAACCATTATCCTTTTATGAGCTCCTTCATACAGGAAAGACTCCTTGAGAAAAGGGCATCACTGCAACCATCTACGATTGCTTAATTCAATAGTACTAAAACTTTTTAGCCTTGGGACCCTCCCCCCCAGTTTACATCTATATGTCGATGTCACACCCCCTCCGCTCGACATGGTATATGAATAAACATATTTTGTTTATTTAGTGTGTGCATTTTCATTTGCACATTCATGTATGTTCATATTTAAATATTTTATAAGGACATAACATTCTTCAAATTAGAACAGTTTTATTTAAGTAAATTCAATATTTAACTCAAATTTTACAAAGTTTGGGAAGACTAAGAGGGATCAGAGCCTCCAAGTCTCATGCCCTCCCCAGTAGTGCCACCCCACTGTTGACTTAATTGAACACAGATAGGGACAGAGCAGATTTGACCAAATGTCCTGGCAATCTGACTCAACAATAGAGATAACAGTTGCAGCTTGGCCTCGCATATGATCTTCTGCCCTCTGTAAATAATAAAAAAGAATTCCTGAAGATTATCTGCAAATGGTGTTTTAACACCAACCCAACTGTCCATAATGACTAAAAAAGTCCCACCATTTTGCTGGAGAGGTTGTAGAGCCACAAGCTCATATCAAGATATGTGGCTTAACTGCCCTAATGTGAAATCTTTTTGGAACACAGTCGTATCTCTCACATTACAGGTCAGACTATTCATTTTGGCCTGCTCTCTTCCTGTTACCCTTTTATGTCAATGCCAACAGTTGTTTAAAACACAGAACTCTAATCACATTCTTCCTTATGTCAGTGCATCTTGAAGTGGCCAGATGTGGAAAGAGAGAACTCACAATGGACAACTGGTGGAAAAGAATATGGGACTCCTGGTTAACAGAGAAGCTTTCATACATGATACAAGCTTGCAACAGACACAAGAGATATTATTTTATGAAGATTGGTCAACATTTATTGAATACATCAAAAATCACTTGGCAACACTTACAACTTCCAATGGATCAAACAGACTTGTGGGAAGATACATAATGACATTCCTTCTAATGGCAAACTTCCAGCAAATGCCTAGAACACTGTTATAGTCCCCCAAATGATTTGGAATACCCATTTGACAAATCCCACTCCTCATATCATTTTGTTATATTATCTCATTATTGTTATGTTAATTTATTTGCTTGTTCTTTATTTTTAATAAAAATAAAATTCAGTATTTTTAAAAATGTGCACAGAATATTTTTGCACAAAACCCTGCATTTTCTGTGTAAGATAAGAGCATTTTCTATGCAGAAAACAAAATTTATCTGCAGAAATACTGTCATCTGTACAGAAAATGCTGTTTTCTGCTTTAAAATTGTGGTTGTTATGTCGTCGTGTGCCTTCAAGTAATTTCTGACTTATGATTACTCTAAAGTAAATGCTGGGTTTTCTTGGCAAGATTTCTTCAGAGAAGATTGGCCATTCCTTCCTCTGAGGATGAGAAAGTATGACTTGCCCAAAGCTATTTTTGTTTCCAAGATCGAGCAGGGATTCAAACTCTGATCTTCAGAACCATGGTCCAAAACTCAAACCAGTGTGCCACTTTGGCTCCAGTTTTGTACATAATATGTCTGAACTGCAAATAGTCTTCAAAGACTGTGACATTTTCAAAGACTTTCTTGAAGCTGGAAGAAAATGCTAAAAGCACTTGCTTCTTTTGACAACAAAATTAGCAAAAAAATTGCATCTATACCTGGAAGTCCCCCCCCAACTTGGCTGATACTTCTTTTTCTTCCTCCTCTTCCTCCTGCTCTTCTTGGCTACCCAAGGGCCCCCAGTTGGAGACTTGAGGATGGTGTTAACAAGCGGGATGAAGAAAGGCTTATTAGAAAAAGAAAATGGGAAGTGTTCTTCCCACAGTTTGTAATTCTTTGTGAGCAAGGTAGTGTTTGATTTCTCTAAAGAGGAAGACCCCAACTGGTAGGCAGGCAGTAGAACTTGTGGCTTTTCTCTTGCAGTACAACCAGGCCCTGTTTGGTGAGATTCCCATTGAAACAGATAGGAGAAGCCCACCCAAAGACTACCTGGTGGAATCAGTGCTGGTGATGATCTTCTGTTGCTTGCTCACTGGAGTGATGGCCCTTGTCTATTCCCATGAGGTAGGTACTCTGAGGCCAAAATGGACCACAATTCAGCATCATCTTTTTTTACTTTCCATTATAATTTTTATTCACGCAGTAAAATTAAAATGCAACATGCTGTACATATAGAAATCAAATGAGTCTTTGCACCATATAAACTTCCATCTTTCTTTCATTGTTTATTTGATAGTGATCTATTATGTTCAACCATGTTCTTATGTAGTTTCTCATGTATCTCCTAGGTAGGAAACCATTTTGATCTTCATGTATTATCTCTTCTTGGTCTATAAATTGTCTCCCAGACCTCCTCCTTTTTCTTGATCTGTTTTATTTGGCAGGATTAATTTCCTTTTCTTTTCATTATCATCAAATCTTTTGGGGTCCTTTTTTCCTTTCAATTAGGTTCTTGGGCAGGGTTGATGTAGCCTCTGGGCACCAACAGCAGCTGCCGCTCATTATTCGAAGAGGCAGGAGATAGCCAAGTCTGCCACCAGCTCACATGGTGCCCTTTAGCAGATCAAGCACCTAAGTGGATACTGGAGAAACTAATTCTGATTCCCTCTCCATTTCACATTTTCTCCCCAACCACAGACGCGTGCAACTCTGAAGCAAGGGGACCTGGTCCAGGCCAAGGCAGCCTCCCAAAAAGCTCGTTCGCTTGTTTTGGTCAGCCTCTTCTTTGGAGTCTTTCTTTCAGTCAGCTGGGTGATCTATGTTGTAGTGACCCTCTACCTGTGACCAAGTGGGTCAGGAGCTACTTTGGCTGTTCAGTGACTCATACCATCTCAGGAGTCTACATAACTATCAGACAGAATGCAACAGCTCCCTGCAGAAGCAGAGCAACCCAACATCACTTGGACACCTCCTTCTGGAGCTTTCACTGCTTGCTTGCCCTTTAGGAGGCATGCTGGAATCTCTGCTGAAATTCACACACTTCTTCATGAAGAGGATGAAAAGAATAAAGAAATCCGCTATGAGAGAAAACAAAGCTGGTAGATTCACCCATTGGAGGACAGCTTCAAATACTTGGCTCTTCAAAGTTTATGGCTGGCTCCTTATTGCACCCAGTCACATCTGTGGTGATGAATTAGAGTTGCCTTTTCTGGTCCTGTTCATACCAGGTATGACTCTTCTTGTTGGACTGGGCCGGTGCAGATGGCTTGGAGAATTTTTGCTTTGTTTTTGATAAGACCTCACCAAGATCCACACATTTCTTGATACTGTATGTAGGACAGAAAAATATGTTTAAAAGATCACACGTTAGAACTGTCCTGCTGCACTTCCCTTCAGCCGTCTTGTCAAGCCAATTGTACCAGTGGAACAAGGCACTGGGAGTGGGGAGTGGAGATGCCCAGGTAACACAGTAAATTTGTTCCTGGACTTTTTTTAAAACAGAAAATTTGGTACCAGAAGCAGAAAATAATATGGATGTGGATTTAATTTGACATTCTACTGAGCCAAGGCACAGGACAGAAAATCTCTTTCTGTCAGATCTCAGCAGAAGAATCCTTCTACTCATAATTGGCTGCTAAGAAAGTTGCTGGCTGTCAAAAGGCACAGCTACAGGGGTTAATTGAAAAGATGGCAACTGTTCCTTTTGAAATTGCATCTTTTGAAAAATAAACTGCTGCCTATGGGTACTAGGTCAAATGGATAGCTAATTGCTATATTATTAGTTAAACTAATTTGTTGTTGTTGTGTGCCTTCGAGTTGTTTTTGATTTATGGAGACCCCTATCATGTTTTTTTTTTAGCAAGATTTGTTCAGAGGTTTGCCATTGCCTTCCCCTGAGGCTGAGAGTGTGTGACTTGCCCAAGGTCACCCAGTGGGTTTCGATGGCCAAGCTGAGATTCAAACCCTGGTT